TATTTTTAGTAGAGACGGGGTTTCACCACGTTAGCCAGGATGGTCTTGATATCCTGACCTCATGATCCGCCCACCTCGGCCTCCAAAGTGCTGGGATTACAGGCAAGAGCCACCGCGCCCGGCCAGGATTGGGGTTTTTTGCATAGACAGGCACTGAGTGAGCTCTCAGCTTTGGCTGCTGATTTAACAATGGTTAGAATAGAAAGGGGGAGGCAAGGAGCTGGAGGTGGCTGCAGTAGCTACCCAGGGACACTGACTGGTGGCTTAGATGGCATGATGACAGCGAGCACAGGGCTGAGGCTGAGGAAGATGTCCTGGCAGTGCGGTGGGGGAATTGCTAATGCCAAGATATGGGAGGTGATGACTGAGGTCCTGAGGGTACTTTGTCCTCTTGAAGGTTAGTGCTGAGTTCCAGCTTTGTCCTGGCTCTCTTGTCTGCATTTGAGATCCAGACATCCCTGCCCGGGGTGGGCTGAGCCCTGCTCCCTGAGGAAGTGAGGCAGGTGTTCGTCCTGTTCTGGAAGGTCACAGCAGGTGGCCTTGGGAAGGTCAGGAGTAGGAGAGAAAAAAGGACGGCTGGCAAGGTGGTCTCATCATTCCTCTGATTTCAGGGCCAGATGTGATGGGGCCGGGGCAGAGGGTGCTGGAACTGGCAGGTCCTAGAGAGGAGCAGAGCCCACTCCATCAGCCCGCCAGGGGTGGGAGTGGCCTGCACCACCAGACACTGGGTTCAACTCCTCCCCTCCCCTGCCTGCTCCTGGCTCCTCTTCTAACCAAAATCTGGAACCACTGGCTCTTCCTTTTCCCATCAAACCATGCCCTGCCCTGCTCATTCCTACAGGCTGTGAAACTGCCCAGGGCACTGCACTGGTGGGGCCCTGGGTCCCTGCCCTGGCACCTCACTATAAGCCCCTCCTACCCCACTGGCAAGCTGAGGAGTAAGCCTGGTTGAAGGACTTGGGTCATGGGGAATCTCAGGGACAGGCACCCAAAAGGTGGCATCGTGGACGGTGAGGTTAAGGTCAAAGATAGGGCTCTAAGGCTTGGAATGGGCCTCATTCACAGCCTGTGCTTGGGCCTTAACTGAGCCTCTTCCCCTATCATTGACTGAAGCCTTTTCCTGATCACACAATCACACACTGAGCCTGGATCCTGGTTAGAGATCGAATCCCGATCCTTGGCCCTTGACTGAGTCATACTCTGTGGCTGAGCCACAGGCTCACACACGGAGCCAGGACATCAATCATAGATCAAGGCTTGGCACTGGTTACAGACTGAGCCCTGATCACTGGCCAAAGACTAAGCCCCGATCCTGATTCCAGGCTGAGTCCTGATCTCTGATCACAGATAGGCCTTGTTCCCAGTCTCTGTAGGGTGTGTGTGTGTGTGTGTGTGTGTATGTGTGTGTGTCTGTGTGTGTGTGTAAATAGAGTCTTAGACTAGGCTTTGAGGCCACTTTGTGAGAGTCTTGAGAAAAGCCAGCTGAGAGCTGTGACATGTTTGATGGCTGAGAGCGTGTCTCCTTCTTGACAAAATCAGAGCTCAGGGTCACAGCCTGGATGCGGCATCCAAGACAGCACTAGAATGTTCCTAGTCTCCCAGGCCCCTTCCTCTCCAGGAGGCTGCCCTCATTCTACCCCCAAGGCGTCTCTGACCGATGGTCACTGTGTTCCAGGTGGTGGGACTCACTGGGCTGTGGGGGCCCGGCCCCTGGGAGCAGGCCCTGGACCATAGCGCCCACTGTGGACTACAGGTCTAGTCCCAGGAGGGTGACACCCAGGGGCCCAGAAGCAGCTCCTGGAGCAGGGAGGGTGAGGTGGGTAGGCTCAGTGGGGGTCTGCAGGGTCCAAGGGGAGGGGCAGGTTCCAGGGTGAACATTCTTCTCTTCTGTCCAGGCTGGGGCCCATCTCCTGCCACCACCTCCCTTGGGCAGCCCTTGGGAGGGGCCGGCGCTGGGTAGTAGGACCACTGGGTCCTGTCCTTCCTCATGTCCTTGAGTTCCTTGTGTGTTTCTAGGACCACGTGCATGTGTGTGCATGCATGTCCCGGCCTGTGATCATGGGTCTAGGACCACGTGCATGTGTGTGCATGCGTGTCCCGGCCTGTGATCATGGGTCTAGGACCACGTGCATGTGTGCGCATGCGTGTCCCTGCCTGTGATCATGGGGAGTCTCAGCCTGGAGGCCTCTGGGGCAGAGGACTCCCTGGTGAGTTGCCTGGAGGACTGGGGCACTGTCCTAGGGCCAAGGTGAAATGAAGGCCCCTTCTGCACCAGAACTTGTGCTGCCCTGGGCATCTGGCCCCCTGGGCACCTGACCCCTGGGAGCAGAGCTAAGTGAGGGCAGGAATATGAAGTGGACATGTGGGGTGAGCCCGGAGAGGCAGGCAGTGGACTCACTGGGATCTGGCCCATGGCCTCCTCCTCAAAGCAGCCTCCACCATCAGCCTTGGGGCAAGGCCCTGCTTAGGCTGGGGAGGTGGGTAGTGGGGTGCTCCAGGGGACAACCCCAGATCCTGGTCACTGCCTTGACCTTCCTGTCACCTGACAATGCCTTGCCCTCCTCAAGGCCTGCCAGATCTCTCCGTCATTCAAGGCCTGGCCCTAATGCCCCCTCCTCCAGGAGCCGGCCCTGACTTTACGCTGGTAGATGTGGTGCTCCCTTGCCCATGGGTCTCAGCTCCTGCCCCACCCTGGTCAGGCCCCCACATCCCCTGAGAGCAGAGATCTGCATGGTTTGTGGGGGTCCCAGGCCCAGTGGCTGTTCTCACGATGGGATAGAGCTTAACATCACAGGAAGGCAGGAAGAGAGACAGACAAACAGGAATGGGGACATAGACAGGGTTAGAGATGCAGCTCGGGGCCCCTTTCTCTGCCCTGGAAGGCAGGTCTGTGCCCAGCAAGGAGACTCAGGAGTCCTGGTGCAGGGGGCACTTCTTCAAGGCATTCGGGGCTGGGCCGCACAGGGCCGGCTGGCGCAGCGCCATGGGGGTTGGGGGGGACTCTAGAGTCGGAGGTTCAGGAGTGGGAGAAGCGTGAGGGCCCCGGCCAGGCAGTGAGGGCTGTTTAGAGCAGGTGCCCCATCTACATTGCACAGCTCAGTGTTGCAGCAGGACACGGGCCGGGTCTGGCCGATGCCATCCACATCCGAGGGCTCACACTTGCTGGCGCAGGACTTGGTCACTGTGGAGTCCCCCTGGAAGGGGTACACTGTGGGGTGCGGGAAGAGTCAGCCATCAGGGCTGGTTACTGCCTCCAAGCCCTGGTCCCTGCCAGCACCACCTCATGCAGGCCTCACTCTGGGGTCACCCACCCGGGTTTCCATCCCTCCTGGCCCAGTGCCCTCCTCTTCCTCTTTCCTCCCACTGGTGTTGTCCGGGTGTCTACCATGTGCCAGGCACACACCTGGCATTCTGCACCCGACCTGATGGGGCAGTTCCCACCCTGAGGTGACTGTGAAACCAAAGTCTGTAAGTGTGCCCACCTTCCCCAGTCCCCCCAAAACGAGGTTGCAGATGTGTTCCCACTGAAAGCCAGGAGGGAGAGAGGAAGAAAGGGGAGGGCAGAGGGAGGCCTAGCTCAGGCAGAAAGCCATTTTTGGAGATGGGTGAGGTGGTGGCTGTGCACTGGGGCCAAGCTGGCTGGTGGTGACTGGGCTGGAGGTGGCTCTGACCGGGCACCCAGCTCTGCCCGCCTTCCGTGCCCACTGACCTATCTCCCGGGAGTAGAGTGTTGTCTTGCACATGGTTTCATTCATGGTACAGGTGGCGATGGTGTTGCAGTCGGACACTCCTGTGGGCTCCAGACAGACGTAGCAGTGCAGGGCCGGCGCTGGGGAGAAGGGACAAGGGCTGTCAGGCAGGCTTCACCCCTCCCAAGCCCAGAGACAGTTTGTCCTGGAAGCCCAGGTCTGAAGGGGAGTGACACTGGCCAGGGTCAAGGTGCCCACCGGCCAAAACTCAGGAACAATACCAGGAGCCTGGGGTTGGGGACAGGCCGGGCTCCACCTCGGGACCCTGCATCCCAGAGTCAGAGTCAGCTGCTGGGGGCGGGGATCCAGCCGGCAAGGCCTGGGTGGGGTCAAGCCAAGTCCCTTTGGAAACGTTTGGGAGACTCAGGGGGACTGAAGCCCTGGCATCTTCACAGCAAGAGGCACCTCAGGCAGGAAGCCTCAGGTGGGGGCGTAGCTGGGAGCAGGTTACCCTCTCAGTTTCCCCATCAGGGAAGTGCTGCTGTGGGGGTTAAGGGATCCGGCCAGGAGGCCCATGGAATGCAGGGTGGACCAGGCTACGTCCGGTCTGCATCTGGGTCCCCATGCTGGCTGGGGCAGCCAGCTGCACAGCTAGGCCTGACTCCTCCGTCCCCACTTTGGGGACCCAGCGGGGCCTCTGCCCCCTCTGGTGCACCTGTTTCTGGGAAATGGGCAGAGCCATCCTCCAGGGGTCTCTGGGCCCAGCTGCTTCTGGTTGAGTCCAGGACATTGCCCCGATGGTTGTTTCAGGCCCCATGTGAGGGAGTCACCCCACCCCGTGGGTCTGGTTTTCCCACTCGTCTCCATCCCTACTGCCACCCCAGCCTCAAAGCCTCCCTGGGGTCCCCTTCCTTCCCCTGCTCAAGGCCCTTCGGGTGCCCATAGCCCCCCATAAAGTGCGACACCCAGGCTGGTGCCCAGGGATGTGGCTGGCTGCCCCCCGCCTACCTCGAAGGCCACCCTCTGCTCACCCTCATTAGGCTCCCGCCCCCTCACCGCCCGCCCCTCTCTCCATCTCCACCCTCCTCTCCTTATGGCGAGGGGTGGGCCACACCCCGGCCCCGCTCCTCTGGCTTCTCCTGCCTCTGAGGCCCCTTCCTGGGGTGCCCTCCCCAGGAACAGTGTGCGAATGTCAGTGGGTGGCATCTCCCTCTGCCGCAGCTCCCCTGTGGGTCCCACGCCTCACCGAGCTCTCCGCAGGCAGCCAGCACCAGCGCCAGGAGCGCCAGCCGCGTCCCCCTCATGGTCCGGCCCACTCCTCCGTGCTCTCACCCTAGTGGGAGTGCTCCTGCCCGGCGGGGTACAGCGGACACCAAGTGAGGTGGCCGACAGACCGGTCCGCTGAGCGGATTAGTGGGATCAAGTTTCCCGAGGGTGGAGATGTGAAGACCCCGCCCCAGGCCCGCCTCCAGGGGCTCCCTATCTTTCCAGGCTGCTCCTCCCACTCCCAGCCTGGCCCTCTAGGCCCACCCCACCCACCTGGGACCCTCCCTGTCTCTTCCTCATTCCTCCAGTAACAGGCGGGTCCCCTCCCGGCCCCTTCCTGACCCCTCCAGCTCCCCGCCTCTGCCGCCGTGGCCTGGGGCTGCCACCCCTTCCCTTTGTGGGGACCCTCCTTGACTCCTACACACCCTATGACTCAACTCTTCTCCTCACTCCCCTCCATCCAGGACAGCCCCCACTGACTCACTCCAGGCAGCCCAGGGACCCCCCCAGACGGCCTGGAAGGGGACAGGGAAGGGTGGGGCCACTCTCTGCTGCTGGCTCCTCAGGGATCCTTCCTGCCTCAGGTCATCTATGTTCCAGGGCAGATCCGTGTGCTGGATCTTCCCAGATTCTGGGCTGGAATCTTCCCAGGAGGACCTTGGTCCCACCTCCCAGCTCCTTTGGGTGGTCAGGCTGGGTACTGGGGGCCTGGGACTGAACTGCCACCCAGACAGTCAGCTACACGGTTTGCTCAGAGGCTTAAGGAGACAAACGCCAAAAACTACTGGGTCAGCAGAGAAGGTCCTGGATGGAGAGTGGGGTGGGGAGGAGCTGGGGTCCCTTGGGGGCGCTAATCCCATGCCCCCAGCCACCTGCCAGCTGGACACCTTCATCTCTAACCTTCCGATAAGGCTGCCCTCAGGCAGGGCTTACCGCCTGCTTGCAGGTAAGGAAACTGAGGGAAAGTTCCTTGCCCCGGGCTCAGACAGGGGACAGTGACTTTGGGTTGGGATGACTCAGGCCATCTCCAGCTCAGCTCCCCGCTCCCCCTACGGACATCCCCCCAGAGTGCCTGCACCAGCCTCCCCAGGTTGTGTCTGGTCTGTGATCCTGCCACCTCCTGCTCCCAGTCCTGCTGCTGCCAGTGTGTAGCGTGTGGGGGTGGGGGGACGGATGCATGACAAGCAGCCTGCGTCTTCCTGGGCCCTGGCCATCAAGGCCATGATGTCAGCTATGCCGAGACTCACACTGAAGCTCTTCAGCCTGAGCGCCTAAATCCCACCCACTCCTGGTCTTCGCTCCTGCTGTTCCCACTGCCAGGAATGCCCTTCCTTCTCCTGCCCCATTGGTTGAAATTCTGTCTTTGGTAGACTGCACTCACCTGCCCGCACCCCCTCCTTGCCATGGCCCTTTTGGGGTCCCTGGGTTTTCCTGCTGGATCAGCTCTGTTTGGGATCTGGTCTTTGCCCCAGCGACTGAGAGAGCCTGTGTCTCCCTGAGCACTAGGTGGGGGCGGAGTGTGCAGGGGTGGTGAGCGGGGCACCCAGGATTCCCTAGTGCCCCACTTGTGTCAGAGACTTAGCCTAGTGGATCTCACTTTTCCTCACTGCAGCTCCAGAAGTGCACAGTGCTAATGCATTTATTTTGCATAAGGGAACTATGGCTCTGAGAAGTAATTGACTTAGGCAAGGCCGCCCAGCCAGGGCTGGGTGAAGGCCTAACAGCAGCAAGCCTGTCTGGTTTTGCACGGTGCCACTCAGCCACGCTGCAATTGGCCATTGATGCTGGGTGCAGCTAACTGGATTAGACACCCCACCCTACACACCCGGGGTTCCTCTTGAGGCCTGACCCAATTCCTCTGACATGGCATGGCCCAGTTCCTTCCTGTCCTCAGACCCAGGGGCCCCACCTGTGCCTTCTACCCAGAACACACGCCTGGCCCCCAGGCATCCAGCTCCTCCTAGAATTTCTGCCTGACCCCCAATGGAGAGATCCAGGCTAAGCCTTTCTGCAAAGTTGCAGCTGCCTGATTGGGGTGTGGAAAAATGTGGCCTAGCCAGGGTCTGGGCTGGCTTTGTTTGGGAGGACTGTGTTTCGAGAAGACCACACCCTTCCCTCCTCAGTTCCACTAGGAACTTCTGGGTCAGGGCTCAGTGTGTGACCAGAATCCAGGATCAGTGTATTATTAAGATCAGGGCTCAGCATATTACAAATGTCAGAGCTCAGCACATGACCAGGATCAGAGTCAATGTGTGATCAGGAGGAAGGCTCACCTTGTGACTAAGATCAGGGCTCAGTGTGTGATCAGGAGCAGGGCTCAGCATGTAACAAATGTCAGAGCTCAGCTTGTGGCTAGGATCAGGGCTCAGTGTGTGATCAGGAGCAGGGCTCAGCATGTAACAAATGTCAGGGCTCAACTTGTGAGGATCAGGGCTCAGTGTGTGATCAGGAGCAGGGCTCAGCATGTAACAAATGTCAGAGCTCAGCTTGTATTCAGGATCAGGGCTCAATGTGTGATCAGGAACAGGGCTCAGCACATAACAAATGCCAGGGCTGAGTTTGTAATCAGGATCAGGAGCAGGGCTCAGCATGTAACAAATGTCAGAACTCAGCTTGTGACTAAGATCAAGGCTCAGTGTGTGATCAGGAGCAGGGCTTAGCATGTAACAAATGTCAGAGCTCAGTTTGTGACTAGGATCAGGGCTCAGTGTGTGATTAGGAGCAGGGCTCAGCATGTAACAAATGTCAGGGCTCAGCTTGTGACCAGGATCAAGGCTTAGTGTGTGATTGGGAGCAGGGCTCAGCATGTGACAAATGTCAGAGTTCAGCTTGTGACTTGGATTGGGATCAGTGTGTAACTAGGATCAGGGCTCAATGTGTGACCAGAGACAGCCTCCAGGGATGACCTCCACCCACAGTAATGCTGCCACTAAACTGAGGAATTGTCAGGCTGCCACTGGAGCTGCTGACTTCAAGAAATTACCCCTGAACTGTGATCCAGGGATCAGATGGGGCCCTTGCACCTGCTCCCACACCACTGCCTCTTTTCTGGGCACACTGGACCCCTGCTGTGAGGCCTTTCTCCAGGACCTTCTCCAGATCCCTCTCCATGGGCCGGGGTGAAGATTCAAGTCTGTCTCCTAGAGGCACTCTGGTGGGGGAGGGCAGCAGTGAAGAGAGGCCACACTCTGGTCCCTGGCAGTTTCTGCTGACAGGTCAGTGGGTCGGATGGTACCCAGGGTGGGATGGGAGCTCAGGTGCCATGGTCTGCCATGTCCCGTGCTACCCAGGGTCTGTCCATGGTCATCTGGTGTCCCATCAGTACCCAGTGTTCTGTGTCTGCTCACGCCCTGCGGTCAGTCAGTATCCTGTGGCTGCCCACACTTACTGCATCACTGTTTCTGTTTCAGAGTCTGGGCATGGCTTCATGTTGCTGCTGGGTCACTCCCAGGCTTCAGTGCAGGCTTTGGCTGAGCCATAATCATCTCAAGGCTCAGCTTGGGGAGGACCTGCTTCTAAACTGGTGTGGAGTTGGCCAAATTCTGTTCCTCACTGTCTGTTAGTAGAGGCCGCCCTCAGCTCCCGGCCATGTGGGCCCATTCAACGTGGCCACCAGTTTCGTCAGAGCCTCAAGCTGCACTAGCGTCTATTGCTGGGTGGCAAATCACCCTACACGTAGTGGCTTAAAACAACACTCATTTTTAGCTACGGTCTTTCTTGTCACGTGGGTTCAGCTGGGCTCTCTGCTCAGGGTCCCACAGGCCACAGTCAAGGTGTGGTGGGGCTGGACTCCAACCTGGAGGTTCCAGAAGGAATCTTCATCCAGGCTCACTCAGGCACTGGCAGAATCCGCGTCCTTGAGGTCACAGGGCTGATGTCCCTGTTTCCTTGCTGGCATCTGCGGAGGCTACTCTCTGCCCTAGGGCCTCCAGTCCTCCTTAGGTGACCCCTCTGCCTGCCAGTCAGCCACGCACACTGCATCCTCCTCCGGCTTCAGTCTCTGTCTTCCTTTTCTGCCACTAGCAGACATATTCCGTCCCTGGCTGCATCTTGCACCAAACAGTAAAACCCCCAACTTTGTCATTCTCTCTGCAAGTGCTGAGGTTCACTGGAGGTGGCTTCTGGCCTCTGCTCTTGCCTTCCCCCTTCTTGCCTTTATGATGAAGTGCAACTGTCCCCAAAGCCTCACCTTCCATGGCCACCTCATCCCAGGGGAGGGATTTGGAAGCTGATTTGTTGCTGCTCATCTTCTCGGCTGATGGGATCCTCAGAGGTTGGATGACCAGCTCCAGAATCTGACCCTCAAGGGTCACTTGCAAGTAATGTCTTCTGATGGCTCTCAATGGGCCTTGAAGAAAGACTCCTGGAATGAGACCCCATGCCCACTGCTCATCAGGGAGGCGGTGGGCGGAGCCACTGCTCATCAGGGAGGCGGTGGGCGGAGCCACTGCTCATCAGGGAGGCGGTGGGTGGAGCCACTGCTCATCAGGGAGGTGGTGGGCGGGGCCTGTGCATATGTATACCTTTGCCAGGTGGCCTGTGGCCAGGAAGCCCCATGAGCCAGGACCCCGTGTGGCCAGCTGAGAAGTAGGTGCCTTGCCTGGATTCCTGCCTTCCACATTCAGGAAATAGAGGTCGCCCCTAGGCTCCAGGGCCCCTGGGAAAGGGAGCTGTGGTTTTCCAGCCCCTGCAGCGCCAGGCAGTGTCCTGGCATGGTTGTGGGTGGAAGCCAGGGCCTTCTACCAACACAGGCTGGGCTCCCCGCTGGCCCCAAGCCACAGTGAGGTGCCACAGGGGCAGCACTGGGGGCCTCTCCCCTGCACCCAGGGATGCCCTGCCTGTACACAGCCCCACCTGCTCTGCTCTTGGTGGCTTCTCCTCCATCCTCTCACCCCTGCCCTGTCCTCTGCTTTGGGGCAGGAGTCCCCAGGCCCCACGTGGGAGGCTGTGGCCAAGCCTGGGGCAGGGCAGTTTCTGATCACACTCGTATGGGACGGCCTCATTTCTTTTTTTGCCTCCAAAAGAGGAATTCCTCTATTTGAGCAGCTTCCTGGGTGGACCGGGAAAAGGAAGTGTCAAAAGTTCAGGCCTGGGGCACCCTTCCAGGCTAGATGCCAGCAAGGCTCAGGGA